AACAAGTTTAAACCCAACAACATTTTTTGTTTATAATACATAGTAAACTTTTATTTTCAAAAACGTTTGTGACCTTAATTATTGATTGATATAATTGTGTTTCTAATTATTCTATTGCATCATACATATACGTTTTACTACTTATTAAATTGAAGTAAATATAAGTAAAGTAAAAATTAAGAAATTAAATTAAAAAATTAAATATCCGCTAACACAATAACTCCATTTTAATGGCCCTAAACAAGATATCTATATACTCTGCAATATTTTAATAAAGAGTAGTATCTTGTAGATTCGAGATGACGCTGCAGCATCAGGCCAAGGTTATCATATCATTGCAATGTCATTGAAGTAACGAGATACCAAGTTTCGAGTGGATTAGATCTGTGGAAGTTGAATATCCTTTTACCATCTAGGAAAGAGCTGTTAGCCTGCAAATGGCTAGACGGATTTACTTGATTCATAGCTAAGTACACTCTCGATTAAACCATCTTTCAAACAAAACTGAACTAAATAAAAAAAAGGAGTTATCTGTTCGGGCACTACGATGCCACAGACAGACACACAGATACACACGTTACACTTATAAAAGCCTCTAAAATGATTTTACTGAATTTTAAATATATCGTCCAAAATTCACGCGACTTCAATTCCTATCGTATTTTTCCGGAAATTACGTCATTTGTACGAAATTACTTATTTGACTCAGAAATCTTCCATAAACTTAAGCAAGCTTAATATTGATCTACGCAGTTATTTCAAATTCAAACATATATACTTGTATTTTACTTCACGCCTTCAGTCTTGTCAATATTAATTTTAATTTAACAACATATACTTGAATAATCAAACATAAATTTTCGCAGAAGATGTAATGGAGAAGTAATAAAGTAAATAAAAAACGGTTAGGGTCTATGCACACGAGGAGTTTTAGACGCGCGTTCGACGCCCGTTCGTCGTGCAGAAGGTGGTGCGACGCGTGTGTTTAACGTTAAAAAATCGACGTTTTTTAAATACATCGGCGTAGAATACATAATATATAGATGATGGATGTTCATATTTTATAGTTCGATTAAAAAACGTATTAATGTGTATGTATGTATGTACAAACAATTAATAGGTAATATTATATATTTTTTTAAAGTTCCAAGCATTTGAAATTACTTCGATAATAAGTGACCATCTACCTTTATAATTATTGTATTTTTGTCTAATTTCTCAATCCCGTATTGAATATTATTTATTTAATTTTTGCTGTTATTCTTATAATTATTACAATTTTAAAAATATTAATTAGTAATCTATATTTAGTGTTGCTATTATTATATTTATAACCATAAAGAAATATTTTTTCTTATATATTGAATATAATATTCCATATTCAATTATAAAACTAACTAAAATTATAAAAATATTTAAAATTGAAAAATATTGTAAAGTAGGTATTTGGTGCAATTTTCATTTTGTCATTTGTGGGTAGGCTGTCTGTAACAAGTATACCTTCGAGACATGTAACACCTCAGTCTCTCCCGTGACCATGATTGCTGTAAAGCATTTTGAAACGTCAGGAACCGAAAATCCAAATAAATTTGTGAAATAATCCGAAAAGATTTTATTTAAAATACTTATAGTTATATAACAGAAAGACCCTATAAAAATATTTTAATGATTCTGTGCATATTTTCCATTGTTCATGCTTTAATTCAAAGAATATAATATGGATGCCAATACTAGTCATCTCAGTAATAAAATTTATTATAGCCACAAGTACATTTTCGTTGCATAATTATTTGAATAACAATGGTATAAGAATCGAATGAGAGGATTCCCGAGGACATCGTTACGATGATATTAGTAGGCTATTATGCTGTAGTGATATTGAAATATAGGCAGAGTGTATACTGTGCATAAATAGCTGTTTATAAAAATATTGTCTAACAGTCGGTAATTAACTTATCGATTTTGAATGAACACTTAAACTGTAAAAATATATTTAGTCTATAAAGGTATTTTATTATTTTTTATTGAAATTAAAGGGATGTATGGTGTATACATCCCTTTAATTTCAATAAAAAATAATAAAATATGCTTATAATCTAATAATAATAATAATAAAATATATAAATATAATAATAAAATATACCTTCGTGCTTTGGAGAAAGCGAAGGCATCGATCCTGTGCCTCTGTCATTGGTCGAGTCGATTTGTCGCCCACAGAAGTTTGAGAGCGAAAAAAATAGAGAGTGCACTTTTATTTGCATGCATGCTTATACAATGCATAAAGGTATTTGCCTACTATACCGTCTCATACCATGACCGTGCTAGGACCGTGTCAGGCAAAAAATATTCTTTGTATTGAAAAGTACGAGACTCTGCTCACTAGACAGTTCCGTCACTGTTTCAATTTTTCTTAAGGGATTGAATTTTTCTTCAAATGAATAGGAACTTGGCCAGCTCTGAGTTCCGGCCAGCTTCTTGTCGGACGTGTAAACTAAAAACTTATTTGAAGGTGTCTGTACCATGCCGGTTGCTCCTGGTAGTTCTCTGATAGCAGAGTGGACTTTGGAGCAACCCCGTGGTTGTTGTGGTCTGCTTCGGCAGACCTGCCGTCGGGACGTCGTAGTTGAGTGCGTAAGCGATCCTGCGACGCCCCATTAAGAGGGGGGAGGTTTTGTTGGGTTTTAGTGGGTAGTACTGTCTTATCTAGCCGGTGATTCCCACATAACCACCTGTATATGTAAGGTGGTATGCGGGTGTTAATGCATTTCCCAACGTTAAAAAAGACCAAGAAAGAAGAAATTATAAAAACAAGTATACAATGTACTCTAAGCTTAGCATTCGAAATCTAGAGCGCTTGCACGTTGACAGTACAAGACCTGCATTTCAAGTCGAACCATTGTCTGTTTTAAAATAGAAAAGCTCGCGTGGTGTGTGATATTGAAAGCTATACTGCACTTACATCCACCTAATAGATCTTTCAATATTCAATGAAGAATAAACTATGGAACGGGAATATGTAACTCATTTACAACAACGTTTGGCTCAGTTTGTAGTGTCCCTACTTGCTGTGCCAGCGGTCGTGGGTTCGAGTCCTGCTGGGGGCATTCATTTGTGTGATGTGCACGAATGTGTGTATTCCAGTCATGGGAGTTTATATATATAATGTGTATGTATTGAAAGTTATATTATAGGTGTAGTGTATCAACTATCTTGAGCCCATAACATAAGCCTAATAGCTAACCATAGAACTAGATGGTGCCGTGTGTTAATGCCCCAAAATATTTATTTATTAATAAATTTATAATTATTTTTCAAGATAAGCTATTTTTAATAGTTTTTATCATATTTTGTAAGTTGCGAGGTGCTAAAATGTTTATAGTATCATTTGGTTTTATTCTAATCAGTTTTTGTATTTTTTCTCGGAAATGAGATATTTTCCCACGGTAAAAGTACCCTATATGTTACCCGGATAACCAGCTATCATCATACCAAATTTCATCAATATCCTTCTAGTGGTTTTTCTGTGATGCGGTAACAGACAGGCAGATAGAAATTCTAAAAACTATAGATTCGGCCTCTGTATCAATAATAATGTCTATTTTAATAAGATTTTCCAAAAAATATTTAATGTACAGATTCGGCTTAGTTACAATTTTACAATATGTATAGATATTTAATGATAACTTTAAACAATAACTTGAGTAGTGTTATTATTTTTGATACTATACATAAACAAAGGCAATCTTGGATATATTTTAGAGAAACAATTTAATGTTGCTATTATGTAAGGCTCATCAAAACGTAACCTGTTTAAAAAATCCATCCATTAAGTTAATTGAGTGGCCCTAATGAAGATAATTGCTTTCTTATAACACATTCACTGTATCTGTAATATCTAATATATACATTAATGTTACAATTCATTTGGAAGTGTTCCTTATATTATATTTAGTACTTGGGCTACCAAGCTTCGCTCGGAGTTTTTGGCCTGAAGTAGAATTTTCTTTTTTATAAAAAAAAATTAAAAACTTGAATAAATATTAAAAAAAAAACAAAAGTAAAAACTTTGCATGTGATCCAGATTCGAACCACGATGCTTATGCCCGAGCGTGCAAATTACCGACCATATTTTGCGTGGAATAATGCAAAAGAAAACTGCATAAAACTCGATAACGCGTTTTCTTAGACATAAGACTAATCTAGATCGATTTATCGCCTCCGAAAGCCCCTGTAAACTAAATTACAAAATTTCATGAAAATCGTTGGAGCCGTTTCTGACATTCAGATTTTATATATATATTCAATTCTTGTATATGTATAACGTATATATAATATATACATATACAAGAATTGCTCGTTTAAAGATATAAGATAATAATACTAAGGAAAAGGGATAATAAACAAACATAGATAATATGTACATACAAACAAAATTTCGCATTTTATGATAGTTTATTTTAATAGTTATTACTAATGGTTTGTTAATGTTTTCATAGCTAGTAATATTAACATCTATTTATTTATATTGTACTTTGTGGTTTCTTCTCTATCTTCTTATCTTTAAATTTCCTAAACGATTAACATTAGTTTGAAGTGATTAATTAGACATTTAAATGAAATATAAATAAAATTTAGTAATTAACTGTAGATATCTACAAAATTTTACAATTCCTTTTCTATATTATTCTAAGAGTCTCTGAGATCTGAAAATTGGCAACCGTATTCAAACTTATGCAAAACACTCAGTCAATTATCTTTGAATACCAAGTTCAAATTTTCATTAAAAATGCTTGATTAAATTGTTAATATGTAATTATTAATTACATGCTGACCCCTAAAATATAAATCAAATGAACACAAATTTATATTTACACAAACATTATGTTTTCATTAATTGTCAATGGTAGGTGTAGTGAAGAACCATGTTTTTTATTTTCTTATCTTTGTGTGCTTTATTAATATTTTATTTGTATTTTAAAAATAAAAATAAAAATTACTGGATGGAACGTAATATTGTGCAAGTGAATAAAAATGCATGGCATTTTATTTTTGGTAAATGTGCATTATCTGAAATTTACAAAGTGCTATATGATAAATATCCATCAGAAAATTATGTTGGAACGTTTGTTGGTATGAAACCTGCACTGATTTTAAGAAATTTAGAAGATATTCAAGCAGTTTTGCAAAGTAATTTCCAAAGTTTTCATGGTCGTGGTTATAAGACGAGTCCAAAAGATGAACTAGCTGACAATCTGCTACTGATAGATGATTACTGCCGTTGGAAGTTAATAAGGCAAAAAATTACACCAGTTTTCACATCTTTGAAACTTAAGAATATGTTCAGTGTAATAGAACGGTGTGCTACTGATTTTTCTACGTATATCGATAAACATAGACAATCACAGGAAGAAATATTTGAAGCATTGCATACATTTACTTCAGCATCCATCAGTGCATCTGTGTTTGGGATAAATTCAACCATTGAAAATACGATGGAATCACCAATATTAGACAAAGGTTGGAAACGAATTAACTCAATCTTACTTTTTAATTTGACATTTGCCCTATCAAATATCTGTCCAAAATTACATAGCTTACTCAATTTGAAGGTATTTAGTCAACATAAAGATTTTTTTATTGGTATTATGAAGTGTATATTAAAAAATCGTCGGGAAACAAATGATAAGAGACATGACTTCATAGATACATGCTTGGAATTACAAAGTCAAGGAAAAATGTGTGACGTTTCAACAGGGTACGAAATAAACTCATCTGATGAAATATTGGCTGCCCAGGCGTTTTCGTTCTTCATAGCTGGTGTGGATACAGCAGCTAACTCATTAAACTTTACTTTGACAGAACTTTCTAACAATTCAAATATTTTAAGAAAGTTACACAATGAAATAGATAACGTTTTTGATGAAACAAAAGACAGAATGACATATCAGGACCTGAAGAAAATGGAATATTTGGATATGGTTGTAAATGAATCAATAAGGAAATATCCACCAATCGGTTTAATGCAACGATTATGTACAAAAGACACTGTCTTACCTAGTGGAGGCCCTAAAATTGAAAAAGGTTCAATTGTGATTATTCCTATTTATGGCTTGCACAGAGATGCCAAATATTTCCCGGATCCCGACAACTTTGATCCAGAACGATTTGCTCCAGAGAATATTGCAAAAATTGTGAAATTCAGCTATCTACCATTTGGGGAAGGAAATCGAATTTGCCTAGGTAAGAATAAATTTTATTAATATAATAAATAAAACTTGCAACTTGTAGCAAAGCCATAATAAAAGAGACCATGGTCGCGGTTGCAATCAACTACTGTACTAGCAGTTATTAACTTTTAAGTAGATAATAAATTACATTAAATTTTAATTATAAGTTTAATTTCAGGTGCAAGATTTGCACATCTGCAAATGAAAGCGTGTCTCGCCCGCTTACTGCGACGCTACACTCTGAGAGGGTACAATTATACGCCACAGCGTTTCGAGCCGAGCTTCTTTGGTATGCGCGACTCAAAGGCCCGTTACGACTTAATTGCTAGAAATTGTGCTTGATTATTTTCTGACAATGAAGTAACTGAGTATTTTAAGAAATAATTATAAATTCTATTTATTGCAGTTTTTTGTAATATGATGTTGCTTTTAAATGGTAGTGGTATTATCACTATAAATGTTTAGTCAATCTAAAATTGTTTGAAAATATTTAGAATCTGAAAATTTAGCACGGAATATACAATTTTTTTATGTAAGTATTATATTCTCAAATTACTATTTATATTAGACGGAAGCAAAAAAAATTCTAAGACAAAATTAGTAGCGTTATTTATTTATTTGCTATTTATACTACTGATCTCGATTTCTTTAAAGTATAACTTTTATATATTTGTTAGTTAAATTAATATACCTACAATTTTTGAAAATAACATACGAAAAATAAAAACATACTATATCGTTTTGTATTTTTAAACGTTTGTTCTCTTTCTCTTCCCCTTGAAAGAGAAATAGCAAAATATTAGCTTATTTAATCTTTTTAGGATTCATTGTAATAAAATCATTTGTATACTATTTTCAAACTTTATTATTTGGCTTCGTGTTTAGTACTATGACACTCGGTATATATTATTCCTTAGTCTGAGATTATATTTTAGTGTCAGTTGACTTGAAATATTTATGTTTTTATCTCTTTAATCACTTTAATTACTCAATAAAACAGTGGAATCGTATTCTATATACGTACATACTTTTATTCAGTTAATATCCACTACACATTTCTGTCTCATAATATGAATTTAATCATACAATACTATTATTTCCTCCACGACCGTGGACACGCCGGCGTTACAGTTAACAATAGATTTTTTAGAAGTTTAATTAATTTCTTAGAAATTTACCTGGAGGTGTTAAATACGTGTCAAGCTGAATGTTTATATAATGTCGACTTAGTAAAATAAAATAAAAAGTTGAAATATAGCAGACACTCATTCTGGCTTTCTGGCTTTAGCATTCACTAAATCATCAACTCAATATAAAAAAAACCAACGAAATCAATTAAAGGCAAACTATTTCTTTATAAGACGAGCTATTCTGTTCGAGTGTGTATGTGGATGTGAATGAAGTTTCAATTTCTTTACTCTCACACTCAAAAGTAATGGCACACCGATATAGTAAAGGAGATCAGGTGAGTACTGCTTTATGAGATCTCCGAGAAATGAGGTCGTCAAAAAGAGGCATCTAGTAATAGTAGAAGATCCCGATCTATATGGTGGACCCTTTGCTCTTTTTCCAGATGATTAATATAAACCATTAAACATATCAGCACCACTTTGGGGGGTTTTAACAAAAATTTGCTCCAGGCTATTTTTAATTATTTTTTTTGAAGTACAAAATCTCTTTTCTTGTGACAAATTGTAGAAAGTGATATCATATATAAGTTTGGCCGCATTTTTCGATCATATTACCTGACATCCAGGTATAAACAGGTTCATTGAAATAGTTAATTGCTCGTATCGTTTTCTGGAACGAACCAAGTATCAAAATGTAGATAATTTTATAACAAATCTACGAGTGTATATATGAAAAAAAATTGTGTTAGTTACACTATTTATAACTCAAAAACGGATTGACCAATTTTTATGATATTTGATTTTTTGGATTTCTCTGAGTCCAGAATAGGATAATACGTATTAAAATATCAGAAAAATTAACGAAAAAAATAACATATTTTACGTGGTTAATGCTGGATAATAACTATTTATATCTATTTAAATCGTACCTAGAGACGAACACGAGCGAAGCGAGGGTGAGCCGCTAGTTTATTGATATATGGTTATCATACCGAAACATTTTCAGACTAGAGGTTTTTAATAAAAAAGAGCCTGGAACTTATTTTTAGTGACAACCCCTGGGTTGTGTTTGTTAATACGTAATATACTGTTTAAAAATATATATTTCGTCTGGAAAAAGAATGAGGGGTCCACCGCATAGATCGGGATCTTAGACTATACCAAATACATTAATATAAATACAGCATTCATTCTTAGATGTTATTTCCGGTATATGGTAAGTTGCTCGTTTCGTAAAGTACATATGTTATTTATAAAATATTAAATGAGCATTTCTTATATTTATATATTTTATTTCGCGTAACTCCTAAACAACTCTAACTATTTTGATGGAATTTTGTATTTAGATAAGATATTTTGATTTTTAATTTTACCTATATAGATTACTTTTCTATAAAAACACTATTTTGCAGGTAAAAAAAAACGCAGATCTAAGCACGGTCGCTCAGGTACTCCTAATAAAGCTATATTAAAATTTCGATATATACTATCTTCCAATGGTTGAAGTAAACATTGTGTCAAACTTATAAAGCGGTTTACTATGCAAGTACAATTTATTATAGTGTTCCTATTATGAGTTTCTAGTTATTTCTTTTCTCTATACATATAATAAAATTCTGAGTCGAATCTGTACATTAAATATTTTTTGGAAAATTTTATTGAAATAGTCATTATTATAATTATAGATATAGAGACCGAATCTATAGGTTTTAGAATTTTTATCTGTCTGTCTGTCTGGGAACGCATCACGAGAAAACCTTTTGGACATATGTTGATGAAATTTGGTATGATGATAGCTGGTTATCATATAGAGTCAACATATAGAGTACTTTTTACCGCGGGAAAATATCTCATCTATGAGAAATCTAAAATAATCGCTAAAACGTAACTAAGGACAAAGAAGGCGAAGACCCGAGTGGAGCGAGTGTGAGTCCCGGGTCATAACATAATATGGAGTTCTAGATAAAGAAAATATGTTTGTTTATATATAAAGGATAATCAGCAGGTTCTGAAGTTATTAGTTTAGTAAAATATTTTTTTCACTAAGCAAGTTATACGCAATTTTTTATCTTTATCTGTATATACAGCGAGCGGTAATGCTATGCTCTCGCTTTGCACGCGTGCGTAAAATCATCGTTTTTACGTGATGCGCGAGTAAATTGTTCTTAAAAGGCGTCTCATTGTGTCAAAATACTCGTACTAAATAAAAATAATACTATTAAAAATAATCTCTACAGTATATTTTTTCATTGTATATCCTTAGAAGTCGTAAAAATAAGGTAAAATAAACGTTATTTCTAATAGATGGTGATTTAATGTTAAAACTGCGCTAGATTCAATTCTAAAGCGATGCAAAGATATCGTTTTTTGGTTTTAATATCCATTTTTTAAGATATTATTCGAATGTTAGTGATAAAATCCTTAAGTCATTTTGAATCAGAAGTAGATTTAATTGTTGAAGAAATTTTAATTTCTCTATACATTATAAAAATAACTTAGTCGATCTTTGTCAAGAAAACAATGTGATGTCGTCCAGCTTCCGACCTACGTAAACAGTCAGTACCTACTATATAAGGTTATGTACTCGAGGAACCCCATTGAGATGCCTTTTGTTTCAACTCGAGTAAAAAGCCGCCCTTACCCGTAAATATCTATGTAATACCTAGTTTTACAGTATTTTTTAAACGAAAATCAAATCTGCGACCGATAATAAAATCATCTACACATAATACATTGTATTGTATTCAGCCCTTTTTAACGTCCCACTGCTGGGCACGGGCCTCCCTTCGATGCGAGGGGGATCAAGCCATAGTCCATCACGCTGGCCAAGTGCGGGTTGGCAGACTTTACATGTCTTTTGAAAACTTGCTAGGTTCTCTCAGACATGCAGGTTTCCTCACGATGTTTTCCTTCACCGTTCAGACAAGTGGTAATCACGTTAGAAATGATTCGCACATGAAAATATCAGAGGTGCGAGACCCGGGATTTGAACTCGGTTCACTCGGTTTCCCAAGCGAGCGCGTTACCATTGGGCTACCACTGCCATAATACATATAATACTATAATAATAAATAATTTAGTGCTTGCCCGCGGTTCCGCTTGGGTGATATGTATATATGACAAAAAAAAGTATGCATTAATACACGTTATAAATTATTTACATTTCAAATTTTATTAAAATGTGTCAAAAAGTAACAAACATAATTACACTGATATTAAAACTTTTGGATATTATAGGTAGTGTGTCACATTGGCTATATATTTAGAAAGGAGAAATAAAACGAGGACTCAAAAAAACTTGAAGGCTAGTTTAGTTTTAGTTAGTTTTAATGCTTTGTAAGGAAAGTGCAAATTTCAAGAAAGTATAGATGGATTTCTCGACAAACCCGTCGGTCTGAGTGCATAAAAAATATGATAAAAACATTACTTATTCAAATTATTTATTCCTCATGTTTTCTCCATTTTACGTAACATTGGCAAAAGAATCTTTCCTCAAATGGCAACTTTTGAAGGCAATAACAAGAAAATTCAAAGAAATTTACCTGTGTCGAATAACTATAGCTAGTACACTTAAACGCTAATATCGCATTAATTATATTAATTATGGTAATGACTTGTAATCAATATTGATGGTTTTGATAAGACCATGGACTAATTAAGTACTAAGGCACGTTACGTAAACAACTGACATTGTAACATGTAAAAATATTTTTTGAAGAAAATGATTTGTTGTACTATGAATATTTAGTAAAAGAGAGGTAAGAAAAGGCAGTGGTAGCTCAGTGGTAAAGTGCTTACTTGGACAGCCAAGTGAAGTGGGTACAAATAATTTTTAACACATCATGCGAGTAATTTTTTAATTTTTAGTAATTTTTTTTAAGTCGGTACATTTATTTTTTATTATAGAGTAACAAAAACTCCTTTTGTAACAGCGTGAACGGTCTCTAATACTTTCAAGTTAATCGAATACTATTTACAAGCGCTCATTTATTATCATTAGGAGGTTGACTCTTGGAAAGCTATTTCTTTTCCTCTAATGAGATTTCTTCGCTACTATACCATTATATGAAAAATAAACAAATCTAAATATGTTATCTATTATCGACATGAGGATAAATTGGATGATTATTTTGTTTATGACATACAAATAATATTTCTAATGCAGTAAAATTCGATAGAATAGAATTATATTGATACAAGTGACTCATC